AAAAAAAAAAAAAAAAAACAAAAAAGCTTCCTCTGAGAAGCTGTCGGTTCATTCCAGCATTCCCCCTCCCCCCCTCAGTCTTCGAGTTAATCCTACTGTATTCGATCCCCTGCTTTTCCCTTTTATTCTTCGTATGAAAACGTTAGAAAAATCGCATTCCCTCAGTTGTTTATATAACTATTCCTCTCGGATATTAGCGAAAATCACATATTCTTCCACACCGTTTATCACTTTTAGGAAGTGTACCAAAGAGCTAGTTGTACAGGTCTTCCCACAATTACCAGTTTCCGGTGCAGAAGACTCCGTAATCAGACCAGTATAAGTTAAATCTTGCAATTCTGCGACATGCATCTTTAAATTTTGGCATTCTCTGCACATTCCCAACTTAACAGCTAAGGGATGAAACACAGGCAGACCAAATCGTAAAATGTCTTCTTACAAATGACGCTTAAGTCCAATCCCTTTATTTTATTATTTAATCACTGACCTAAAGTAAATATACGTAGGCTAGAAAACCGGCTTAAAGTAAATTTAGTTAAGCTAGAAAACCGGGTTATCTCTGTATGCCTGTTTTTCCCCACCAAACATAAGTTAGAAAACTGGGCTAAAGCCTTTGTTAATCCTTGCTTGCCTGTGTTTCTCCCCTATTGCTAAAATATATTTTAAAGCAAAATAAGACGCGGTAAAATGGATGGCACTCTTACTATTCTTGTTGTCCATTTAAGATAGCACAATCCGGAAAAATCGGAATCCTTACTGTTTAAGTAAACTGTCAGCAATGGTTTTTGCAAGTAACGTTTGCGCAATATATTCACCACATCCAGAAAGTGCTACTGCTACACTGTTTTGTTGCCTCTGTTCAGCCCAAATTGCACCACCAATCTGTGTGGCATGACCAAGCCGTCCAGCGGTTTTCAACAGAAATCCACCACTTGAACATGCCGCACTGCAATATCCACCATCGCCATACTAAAAAATGGTGGTTTTTCAGCACCAAAAGCATAAATTTCTTACCCAGAAGGCATGGATCAGCTGGTAAATCCATCATGCGTGATTTTTTCAGCACCTGATACTTTACTCAGCTGCTTCGCCCGGTGTTGCATTGCCCGATAGCCTGTTACGACTGTTGGCGATCCTGACATTCGTCTCCTCAACTGCAGTGATAATTATCTCAATAATTTCTTCGGCAAAGAAGTTTGACACGGTTTCAGCCGTTCTGAGACGCCCTTAATACAAGTCCATCATCGATATTATTCTGAATATTACCATCCTTAAATTGCGAAGAAGTAAAAAAAAAAGTAAAAGCAAAAGAAAAACCCATAACCAATAGAGGGCTTCCTCATTTATAAAGCCGACGCTTAGGCAAAGTTGAGAACGAAGAAGGTAAAACTGCTCTGGCAAAGCTGAGAACTCTCAGCTTTACCTAAGCATCAGCCTTATAAATACGGAAGCCCACTACTGCAGAGAAGCTTGAAACAAAAGAAAAACCCGCCATCAGTAAA